ATATATATATACCTGTCGAGCTATCATCTTCCATGATAATCAAATTCTATTTTAAAGTAAATATGAATCGATAAGATGCCATCGTTGAAGTACACTGAATAAAAGTTCATTCATTATTTTATTTTAGGACTTTTTGATTGAGAACATTCTTTACACCGAAGGCTATGATTTCAATGCTGTCTTTAATTATCATTATTGTAATGATGCAAACGACAAATTCTCAAGCGGATCAATGTGATTGCGATAATGATTACGGTTCACCGTTTTGCGATGGAATTCAAAACAAGTTAGCATTTAGCTTGCGTACAAATTATGTGAAAAATTTTAAATGACAAAATTTGAAATATCATTTTTCAAATGCAATAATTTTAGAGATAGCGAATGTTATGTGAATGGTGATAAATTAAAGCTATCACCAAAAGGCATACATTGTGCGAAAAGTTGTGAAACATGCTGCAAGCTGCCACGTTTTCAATGTGAAGATCATGGAGGTAGCATTCTTAAATTTACAATTTTATAAAAATAATCAGTTTAATAAATTCAATTTTATAACAATAAATAGATGTGATAATCTTATCGTATAATGTCATTTTAGAAAGCACCACAAAAAGAAAAAAAAAAGTAATTAACTTTTCTGAGCTTTGATTACAATTTTCTCAAAGTATGAAATTAATTTTCAGTTCGCTTAAATTGTGATAGAATCAAAACAAGTGGTTTATGTAAAACCACAAATGGAATTCTTCTTTCATTATTCAGTACAGAATGTCCTAAAACATGTGGTCTATGTGGTCAAGTATGTATCGATAGTAATGCAATGATTTGCAATATTTTGAAATCAAACTGTGAAAATGATGAATCAAGAAGATTATGTCCCAAAACGTGCAATGTTTGTCGACCGCTAAGTTCGTCTCAGTTATTGCATATCTGTTAAATTTATTGCTTGTTTTGTTTATTTCGCATTAACCGTCCGTCTCTCTTTTAGATATCTGTTTCGATACGACAGAATATTGCTCGTTATTGAAAGACAGTTGCGATGATCCGAGATTGAAACCGCTAATGCAATTATCATGTAATGAAACATGCGGTTTCTGTCATTCAGAATCATCAACGATAAAACCGTCACCATCTGACTGCATTGATGCAGATCCAAGGTATGAGCACATTTTTCCATTGTATAATTGTAATTTTTTCAAGAAATATTACGTGACAATTTAAAAAATAGTTATTGTTGGTTAACTTTTATTTCTTCATTATTTTTACAATTCCTCAAAATTTTGGAATTGCTTTCTTTTCTTTTTAAACATACCAATTAAATCCTATTCAAGTCATATATTTTCAGATGTGCTGCATGGGCAGCTAATGGATTTTGCACAAATTCATTCTATAAATCATTGCATAAAAAATGTTTAAAAACGTGTCGTCTGTGTTAATGTTAATTATGAATTACTTCTTTCTTTCGAGAGTTTCAAATGAATTTGCATTCAAAAAACTTACACTCATACTGTCCACAAATATGTCCTTCTCTCGTGAAACCGCAATGAGATTTGTCATCATCTAAATTATTTCCAAAAATAATTTTATTCTAAATTTATAAATTCACAAGTGAGGTGAGATTGCATTCCAAAGAGGGATTTCACATTTTTTTTTTTCTAATTTTACAGGTCTTGGAAATTGAACTGTGTTAATATTAATGAGAATGAAAGCAAAATGTTACAAAGTGCTTAATAAATTTAAAAAAAAGACTTATTGTCATTTTTGAAAGCGTATTAGGTATGAAATTGCTTTATTTGATTTTCAAAATGTTAAATCCTGATGGTGTAAAAGCAAAGTTTGCAAATGATAATTTAGCAAAATTCGGCATTTCTTCGGACTCCCAATCACAAATAAATCAATTACAATCAAAAAACTAACAAAAATGAAGTTTTTAGCCCCGAAAGCTAAAGTAAAAAATTAAAAAAAAAATCAATAATAAAAAAAGAACTAATCGAATTGATTTATATTCAGAAAGTAGAAGATAAAAAATTTCTTTCTATTGGATGATATGAAGACGATCAACTTTAGCAGATGATTAACTCTTACGCTTAAAAGCGAATTTGCTATGCTCAATAATGGCTTCCTCTAAACGATAGAAAGTTTTGTTTACGAAAAAAAAAAAGATCGAATAAATGTAAAGGATTGTAAATATAATCACAATTTGAAAATGCATGGGATTCGTTAATTCGATATTTGTACGCGTCAATATTTAAATATTTAAAAATATTGTTTGATAACACTATCTGAATTATAGATTACAAAAGACTAAGTAATAGGTTTTTATAAATTAACACAAAGTAAAATTACAAAAGCCTTCATAAATTGATTAAGTGTCATGTAAAAAATAAGTAAGCAAATAATAAATAAGCAAATAAATAAATAAATAAGTCAATAAATAAACTTGTTTGAATTTTTAATTGAACGATTAAGCAATAACATATTTGAAAGATTGAATTAATCATCGAGCATATCCAATGGTAAATTTTTCGATAATTATTGGAATAAAAGATATTCTAATTAACGATCACAATCAATCCATAAATGTTGAAAAGTTTAGAAGGCTTACTTTTTTTTTTTTTGTTCATGCAAATATTAATATAATTTCTTTACGTATGGTGCAATCTTTTCTGCAGCATACAAAAAAAAAAGAAATTTGATCGTGTAAATGCTTGAAATACTATGAAAAAAAATTAATATTCTATACAAAAGATTTATAAATATTGTTTGACGAATTGATTGTCATTTCGCAAAATGTTTGAAGTTTATCCAATCGTTTCAAAAACTTCCGTTTCATTTTCCAAAGTATATAGTTGGTAAATTTTTCCCTACAATTTTTTAAAATTTATTTTGCATTACTGTGAACACTAATGGCGGTGACATTTGGTTATTGCTGGTTTATTTTAACTGTTATAATAAATTCGTTGGTTTGTTGTTTAGAACCGGCTTGTATTGATGCTAACTGCTACATACCACTTCATAGCAAGGTATTTACATTATATATGGTTTTATATTGTATTATTCAATTACAAAATTATTGTTACAGAAATTTTTTTGCTGTAATACGTATTTTCATACATCATATTGATAGCTAAATTTAATCTAAATATATGCAAATTTTGACTTGATTTAGATAGGTACCAACTATTCTGTGTACGGTATCACTCAAGGTGGTGCAATTTTTGTTGCCGATATGATGACGTTCTCGAATGCCAAATTTTTGAATGATTTAAAAGCTATTGATGCTAGTAAATTTAACTTTCTTTTTATCAAACAGAAACTAAAATGCAGTAACAATAAAAATTTCCTACAAGCATTTGAACTATCGGCAAATAAGTCCAGAACATATGACACTGTTACATCAGACTTTCGTAAAAAGTTCACTAATCATTTGAACGTTCCAATAATTCAATTTTATCTTTTCATTGTAAGATATAGTTTATCATTAATCTTCTGTAATGCATCATTATTGATTCCTTTGTGAAATTGCATAGACTATAGGATAGAACATTTTATATACTTTAATATTCAAACTATTTATTTCCTTGAATGAAATTTCTGAACTGATAAAGTTTAAAATTTTACTGCGCAAATATCATTCAATATCTGAACAATTGATATTTCTTCAGGAGTAGAACATTTCGATTGTTCGACAGCCACCGTACATTTTGTTTCCACCAATCTATCAATTCTAAAAAGTGCTAAATATGAAAAAGTCATTAAATTTATTATTTTTAAATCACAACCTAACAATTTATCATCAGCCTACAGCTAATACAGAAAATACACGAAGAGAAATTATTAAAATGATTCGTTTAAAATTCAATTTTTAAAGTTTTTAAATTAATTAAAAACGATGACTAAAAGATACAACGTTATATCGACGATAAAAACAGATTAATCATTTTATCAATTTCATTTTTGAATAAGGAAAATGTTTAGAATGTGAATTTCTTCATCATTGATGCTCCCAAAGCACGAATTATGCTACCTTCCTGCAATTGGACTGTTTACAGTGACATTCTTTACTGTCAGATATATTGGCCAATGACTAAATTTGTACGAATTCATCGCTGTTATCATCCAAAGTTGGTAAAAAAAAAAAAAAAAAATTACACTTTGTAATGCTATGCGTGCGCTAATAAGCAGTATAGTACGCTCACGTAAAACCTGTCGTAATGACGTCATTCAATCATTATTTATTTTTTAAATCGTAAATCAAACTACATACGTTTTGATATTTTAATCCTCTGATTACGATATCAGTAATTTTCCTTACATTTATGATTACAAGTTTATTTGCTTATTTTTAGTGAAATATGATTTAATTATTGTGGTTTCGAAATGTTTACTTTGAGTTTTTGAAGAGATTTTATTGGATAAATTCAAATATTGAAATAATTTTATACGTTGAAATTTCCTGTCTATTACAGATATTATTATGCAAGATGGAGTAACAAATTATATTACCTTTGTTACAACGATGATGGCATATCAAATCAAACGCTATTTATTAATGAAGGCTTAAAACTCGGCTTACTACGATACGGCTACAAAGATATTGCACCTGGTTTTGTCTCATTAAATGATGCAACCACAATGGATTATCTTGGACAAATAATTGTATTAAATGAGATGGATGATCATTATCCCAGTAAATTATTTTTTGTGAATTAGCTTACAGCTAATAGAAATAAATCAACAATGATTGCTTCATTTGCGTTACCTGCGTTATCTTCAAATCATCATTATTTCTTTATTGTTAACAGCATTCCTTTAAAAAATATTTTTTAACTTTCATTTCTAATTTTTTTCAATTCAGTTAAATTTTATATTTTTGTTTCAGATTGGCTTCAACCATTTCAAGGAGAGAATGCATTGAAGCCTGAAGCTGAACGTTTGCTGAGTTGTATTATTGGAAATAAAATTCGTTACGTACTGCAAACAACAATAGCGCAATTTTGCATCTTTGAAATTTTAACGCTCTCATTTCGAATGACAGTACAATTGCTACCAAATGATTTTAATAAGGTAAACTGTCTATAAAAGAATTAAATTTATAGATGCATTGCTGTAATGAATGAGTAAACATAATGCCAAAAACAAATAGTTTGATAATGAAATCATGAAAACAGTTTCATTTAACTGTTAGAAAAAAAAAATGCTAACAATGTTGTCAATCATTCTGAAACATTTGCATCAGAATTATCAAAATTTCTCGATAATTTTTAATATTTACCGAAAAATTTTTTCATCCAAAAAAAGAAAATTTATTAACAAAAATTAAGACTGCGCTAACAAAATTCCTGAAGTATAAAGAATCCCAGGTGCCATTACTAATTAAGGATGATCAGTTATCAATAAATGTTTTACCGTTAATTATTACACGACAGGTATTTATTTCATTTTATTAATCAAAAAAAGCACGTACCATCGTTACTTTTTAGATTTGTAATGGCATTAAAATGCACGACAATACAGTGTAAAGTAAATAAAGCTAAGAATCATTACTTTAAGTAAAAATAATCTGCGTTGAATGTTTAATCATTTTCTCTGAATCATTTAATAAATAAGTTCGTTAACAAATTATATTTTAATTAAATCTGTTACATTAAATTTTTTAATCAACTGATAGCATACAAAAATAGGAATCATATATATTTTTGATAAATTTAATTCAATGCAAAACGCAATTTGCCAGTAAATAAACTTATTTATTAAATGCTATATTAGACGCTAAATGCAAAAAGAAAATAATAAATTTATCTTAATTATTCAAATACAGAAATCAATGGTTGAAGAAATGCAAATATCGGGCGATGTTATTGGTACGCTAAATATGGATGTATTTATTAATATAACATTAGCTGTACCACTGTATACTTTCATTTTTATCATAATTAGCATACTGTTTATTAGATGGCGAATTACGCTAATTCCCAAAACATTGCTTAATTTACGAATATATTTTCAACAAATCATTGATCGGATTTGGTAACATCACTCTTATAAAAACTTCCAATGTAAAGGAAAGGAAATTGAAATCAATTTGAATATTCTAATTCATTAAGATTTATTTAAAAAAAGAGATCAAATTGATCAACTGAATGCTTTACGTTCAATTTAATCTTTTTTTTTTTTAAAATCTTTTTTCTTCGAATAAATAACGATGAAGTTATATAAAATGATCAATTCAAATTTCACTGCTTTTTAAATTCTTTACATAAATTTACTGATGTTTTCTATGTTAATATTGCTGTAACCATCATGAACATGTGTCATTAGTAGTAGTTTTAATAAAGAAAAATGAAAATAATTCCTACAACTTAATATCAGTCCTCCTTGATCTTCAACATAAACTTCTCCAAATTATCAATTTTGATGTCAACAAAACTTAGCAGTTCGCAATTTTATTAAACAAAGCGAAATGTTCTTCCAACATAGTTCGCAGTAAATTACTCTGTGATTTCGATCGAGAACAGTTTTTTATCACAGAATAGATTTAAGGGATGAAAATGAGTGGGTGAAGAGGTTTTGAAATAGCATTTATGAAATGATGAACTTCTGTTCAGTGATAAATTTTTTTCTGTTTTGAAGCAAATCCTTTTTTCAGATAGCAAATGATTCACGTTAAGTATTTAAAAATAGAAAAATAAACAAACTGAAATGAAAGAACATCAAAGAATTCTATAAATATGATTACAAAAATATGAACCTTCGACTAAACTGCTATTGTATGAAAAACAATTTTTTTTCCTACATGCTAAATGATTAAAATTAAAGCATTTTCTCTTAAATCAACAAAATTAGGAATTTCAGAGTAACATAACTTCAAATTGTGCAACGGCAATTTTAATGTGAGGAATATTTCTTGGCTCTTGAAAAAGCCACATTTTTTTTACACTCATAATCAAAGTTATTTCGGAGAGTCTGTTAAAATTATTGCAAATTATTTTAAAAATGATAAGTCGATGAATCAGATTGAATGTTCTCTCAAAATGGACAACGATAAAAGTAATCGTTAATCTTTAACATTAACAGTTTTAGCTATGAATTTTGAATGAAATGTTTATAGGTAAGCCTAATTAAACCATAATGAAAGGTCTTGTCTGATTAGCTGATTCAGAAATTTATAAATGCTATATTAATTAAACAATTATGAAAGAACAAAATGAAACATATAAAAAACTTTACTGACAAACACGATAACAAGAAGCTATTTTTTTTAATATGAGCTTAAAATTTAAAATTTAAAAATTTTGCCTTTTATACTTTGGCAACGGAATTTTGAGTACAGCTTGTTTTACATTTTAAATAAATTCAAATGATGCACTTTTTTTTACTCTATTATTTTATTATTTTTCGTACTTTTTAAACCGAGTGGAAAAGAAATGGATTGAGTAAGAAAAAGAGTAAAAAGGAAAAGCAATGATTCAGTTATTTTATCATTCACTCATAACAATTTATCAGTAATCCTTTGACAAATTTAAACTCATATCTTACACAAAATGAACAGCGTCAATTATCGAAATATTTTAAAAATTAATATATGATGTAAAAAGCGAATAAGAGAACAATGAAAAGAAATGTTATCAAAATTAATATTTTCAGTAGTGTGAAGTTTTATTAATCAATATCAATTGAGCGAGATCAGATTGGAAATTATATGAGTTTAAGTTCGTTGCTTTTTTTTACTTTGAAATCGAACATTAACGAAGACGATTGCAATATCGAATAGATACGATCATAAATTATTCTGTAATAGAGGAAAAAAAATCTTGGATAGATTTTACTCTGTGATATAGTATAAATTTGAAATGGCAACATTGAAAGTCCGTTCCATATTTACGTAATTTTTGTTTATAGTGAATTATTCAACCGACATATATGTTAATGAGGTTAACCAAAACATATTACATGATTAGATAACAACGATTGATGAGGTCAATCAAAGCATATTACATGATTAGATAACAACGATTGATGAGGTCAATCAAAACATATTACATGATTA